TGCCTGTATTCTATGTAATAGGTTAGCTTTATCTGGAGTTATAGACAGATATAGCTGAGTATCATCACAATAACAGTGGAAATTAATCCCATGCTGTCTAATAATTCTATCGATAGCATACTGTATACAGTACATAGTATATAGCACTGATCCCTATGGTATTCCACAGGTAACCCTTTAGCATGAGGAAGGTTTGCCATTATTTAGCACAATACAATAAACCTGTTCCTGCCCTTTTAACATTTCAGCTCAGTGGTCAACCACATGGTTGACCATTTGCTCAGTGAAATGCAGGTTGACAAGGCAGTTAAAGGGTTAATGCAATTTCATTTATCCACTATACATTGCAGGAGAGTTTGATGGCCATTTGCTGTGAGACAGGAGTTATCCCTGCTAACAAAGGCTGCTGACGCCTTACAATGACCTAGAATCAGGTCCCGAACAGAACTCCAGCTGGGCTCACTGCAGGACAAGATGACCATAGGCCTGTTCAAATCCTGTTTCCAGTGGCTACGTTACCTCAGGCTTGTGGTCATCACAATATTGCCACTTTTAGGGGGGTTAACATCTTGTTCTACAAATGTAAGACCCTGATGACGACCCCCTGCATCTACCAGCCATGCAGGATGGGAGAGTAGAAAGAGACACCATCTACCAGGGTCACTTCTTACTCTAAGTCACCACCATCACCACTGCTTAAGTAAAAAGAAAATAGTAAGATGACACACATTTTACTTGGTATTCTCTTTTTTCTACAAATATACATATGGAATGTTTGCATCTTTCCAAAAACTTTACATGAATCCTGTCACCATGCACTCTTTGCCAACTTGTGCTCCAGTATTTATATTTCCAGGCAGGCATGGACTGCTAATCGGGCATACCGGGCATTTGCCCGGTGGGCCGACGTGATGTTTGGGCCGGCAGACCCGACATGTATATTAATAATACGTATTATTATCATTATTATTAATAATATATAAAATATATTATATAAAAATAAAATCAAGAGTCTGTTCCGATCATCCGGTGTCGTGCCAAATGAAGTATCCCCGCCAGGATTTGTATCCCCTGCGTCGGGAGCGCGCATTTAGCTTGCTGAACGTATACACTAAACTACGCCTCATTTCCAGCCAATTTGGCGTGGAAATTAAGATGTTTTATTTATTTTAACAAAATAAAAGAAGAATAAAGCTTTTGCAAATGTGATTTACACCCACAAAAATAAAACACTAAAATGACTGTGTCGGTGATTTAAAACATGGTTCGAAAATCATACATTGTTCTCATGACACTGAAATACATGGTAGTCGTCACATTACAAATTTGCAAAAAGTGTGGCTGAAGGTTACGGCTGTAATATCAACAGCTAACTACTTCCGTTCAGTTAGTTATGCACAATTAAAACACACACATAAACTGTACTATAGCTCTATTCTTAAAATACTCAATCCCAAGATCGCTTATAGGACCTTGTCTCGTCCCATAGTTAATTATGCAAATTAGATGACGAAATACCTGAATGTTTTGCTAGCTGACAGTGCTTACGTTTTTGAAGTGGCTTGAGAAATCTACACCGACAAAAATGAATCCAGCAGAGTATGAAACCATTGTCAAATATAAACTCAATGGAGTTTACCCAGCTCTTTTAAACATGAGAGAAAAATTTCAGTTGCGACGAAAAGCTGCAATTTACAGCATTGAAGACGTCTTTTCATAATATTGGAGCGCTGATGTTGAAAAAAGAGTAATTAATTTTGGTCTTTTGAGAGCAATTTATTTTTTAAAAAAAAGTTTAAATTTCAAACATAAAAAGAATGTTTACATTATTTTTCTTATCATTTTTCTACATTGTGAGGAGTCTTTCTGGTCAGGATTTCATATCGCAACTTTCCAAAGTTTACATAAGGCAGGACTCTATACTTAAATTAAGTTTTTTGTCATTACATCTACAGAAGTTTATATGCTATTGTGTCTATATTCATATTAAACATGATGTATGGATTTGTCTGTAAATTATGAAACACGTATTATCTTGTAGGTCTGACAGTTGATTGACATAAACAAAAACGCTGTAAAAGTATGTGCAAATTACATACGTTAAAAAATTCACAGGAAAACTGTACAATGGAACTTTTTGAGAATTTGCCTGCGTCAGAGGTCTCTGAGGTAGTCTATTTTCACCTATTCAATTTTATTCAATTCAATTTTATTTATATAGCGGCAATTAATGAAACATCTCAAGGCACTTTACAAAGTCAAAATCAATCATTCATACAGATTGAGTCAGATTATACAGATTGGTAAAAAAAAAAATTTCCTATATAAGGGAACCAGTTGATTGCATCAAAGTCCCGACAAGCAGCATTCCCTCCTGAAGAAGCATAGAGCAACAGGATGAAACCTCAATATTTGCCATTACAAGAATACAGTGCAAGGAGCAGGATAAGTTGTGCTACAGCCCTGCAAATTCACCTCCAGTTGGCCACTGGCGTGAATGTCTAATCAAACTTTCAAAAACAGACTTCATAGGTAGATCTGAGGGCCTGGCATCCTTTAATTGGCCCTGTGCTCCCCACCTGACACTGTGAATCCCTCCTGATATTTGTGAGTGAACACCAAAATAGTAAGGTTGAGAATGTTCCCCTATTCTTTTCATGAATGAGAGCAGGTTCACTGTAAGCTCATGTGAAACAGACGAAAGGGTCTGTGGAAGTTGCATGGAATGTGACATTGCTGTTACAGTGTTCACGATGATTGACTTGGTGGGTCAATGTCTGTCTGGTGAGGTATTTCCATGGAGAGATGTTCAGATGAATCCAAGATAAACAGTTGCATATTGTCTGTCATTAGAGGTCAGGATGAAATCCTCTGACCTGTTGTTAGGCCCTTCGCTACTGCAGTAAGGCCTTTATTCCTCCTGCTCCATTACATAATACATCACATGGCAAGAGTCTGCATGTGACTCCTGAAGGAGGAAGTGACAGCATTAAATGGCTTTCACATTTCCCCAACTAAATGCAGCAAAATTCTCCAACACATCCTTTTTAGTTCCATAGGACACCCAAATGTTGTAATTCTGATTGTCCAGGAGCTCAGTGATGACCAGGTCATCATCTGGGAGCAGATACCCTGGACACCATGTGCCATCTTTTCACAGGGATTTTCCAAAGCTGTCAGGCATGGATACTATCCTGTAGCAGACAAACAAACTACTAAGTACCATCCTTTTTTAATTGCTAAAATGACATGTCAGCATATTAAGTCCTCAGTGGGATGATGATTTTTTTCAAATAAAACAGAACATTGTTTCTAACATAAAGATGGATGTCCAGCTGGAGCATTTTTCCAGATAAATCTGCTGTTTTCAAAGTGTTCCTTTATTTCTTCTGACCAGAAGATACTCAACATGTTGTGAAAGCTTAAAATGTGCAGTTTTTTAAACTCTGCTTAAACGTAATTTAATTTAAATTTTTATTTTTTTTTTCAGGAGAAAAGTTGTTTTACTGGCGTCACAAAGGTACTGCCAGAAGCCTCAAAACAGAAGTGGTCTGCGGTGCTGAAAATGCAGATAAAATGTTCAAGGATTTTCACTTCAGCTCTACTGGGGCCCACTGTGGCCAAACTAAAACAAGAGAAGCAATTTCTCAGAGATACTACTGGCCTGGCATGTCAGTCGACATCAACAAATGGGTATGTATGCTGTAACAAGACATATAGAGGACCTGATAATTTAGCTCAGACAAACAAAAATATGTTTACAAGGTTTTTTCAAGCAAAAAGCATTGAAAGGCTGGAAACTTGCTGGAGGGCATTCAGGAACCTCTTTAACAGAGAATAAGGTTAGCTGCTTCAGAAATCTCAGTGGAATGTGGTGAACACAGAATAAAAGCCAAGAACATTGTCAGTATCCGGTAGATGATGCTGGATACATTCAATGGGTCCACGAGTTGCACTTGCTTGGTGCTTATGTGAGAAAGTACAAAGAAAGGGCTTTGCTCATACTAGCTTGTGAGCTGTGTAGCAGTGAACAGGCGGTCCGAGAAGCACCCCACAGTCACTACCTCTATTTAGGGGTGACAGGTATTGCTACATGGAGCTAATAAGGAAAGCAGAGCAGTGAGTAACACAGAACACATTAACAAAAACACATGGAGCTGTAGCATTACAGTAAGCATTACATACACAAATAGAACTTTCAGTACAAAATTTGATAAATCTTGATATTTAATACCAGTTATTTTTTTTCATTTATTTCATATCACTTGTTTTTACCTTTGAGTTTTGTTCTTTATTGTATAACATTCTGTGCTTTAGGTCTCACAGTGCTTAGACTGTCAAGCCAGCATTCCATGTCTCAAGTGTCATGATGGGTCTCTGTGATTAAACCCACATGCAGAACACCACACGAAGCAGGGTAAAAGTTTAACAGTTTATTTAAGGAAGGCAAACACGGAGTAAACAATGCACTGGTTCTGGTACTGGTCTGGGACTTGGTTTCACAGAGTAATCTGCAGAGAAGGATAGTTTGGTTAGCCAGGTAATTATGACGTCTTGACAGGGTTTTGATTCAGAGTTGTACCTGATAAGGTTCAGACTGATCGGTGGAGAGGGGGAACCGGTTGGGTCCAGAGACTGTGGGTTCAGCAGAGAGCTTAGCAACGGCAGAGCTTAGCTTCAGGCTAGCGAGGTTCAGACCTTGAGTAGTTCTCCAAATTCTCTCCTGAGAACTAGCAGGGAGATTCAGACTGAGGATCTTCAGGTTTGGCTTCTTAGGGCAGGCAAGCAGGTTTCCAAACATGAGCTCCTCCAGAGCTACAGACTTCGATCAGGTTTCCTATAAGGCAGAGAAGACAGAGGCTGGTTAGAATCAGGTTACTCTCCAGAGCAGACAGAGATTCTATGTGCAGGCTGAGGATCAGGTTCTGCTAACCAAAACTGGTCAACACTCTGGCACTGAAGACAGGTCTGGCCGCTGCTTATGTAGCTGGTCTCCTGATGGGCTGATGATTCTCAGGTGTGCAGGAGGCTCCAGCTCAGGAGACCCATAGCGCTCTCTGCTGGAGACAGGTGGCAGCTCTCCAGATCCCAACATCAAGAAACCATCATAGTTTACGCCAATAAAGGTTTGTCCATTAATATTGCCCTTTTTCATGAAGGGGTACAAACTTAATCCCCAAAAGACATAAAGGACAATTTAAGAGACTTAATGTTATTTAAAAGTTGTTTTGAAAGTTTCCCAAATTAAGCTCTGTGTGAGAGAGATGGTTTGAGTTTTTGTAATGAAAATATATTGTCTTGTTTCAGGTTTCTCAGTCACTTGAACTGGTCGGGATGGACTTAATTGGAAAACTAACAACCACAACAAAAGGGAACCAGTACATCTGTGTAATGGTGGACTACTTCACCAAGTGGTCAGAGGCTTATCCATTAAAAACCAAGTCTGCCAAGGAGGTCACTGAGTGTATCCTCAAATTTGTTTATCGGTCTGGAGCCCCCAAGAGGATACAAACTAATGGGCTGGTTGAAAGGATGAATTTGACAATTCAGAGGTGAGTCATTTCTTTTCTTTTCTGCTCACAAACCATCAAATAATTATCTACTACAATTTCGTGCACATTGACTTGTGCAAAGATCTAGCATATGAGAAACTGATTCTGATACTAAATCATTAAAAACTTCTCAATCCTAGAGCCTTGAGTAAAGTGATTGGAGGTCATCCAGAAAAATGGGATGACTTTCTGGATCCGGTCATGTTTGGTCTGCGAACAAAAAAAAATATGACCACAAAGTACTCACCTTACTACATCTGGTTTTTGAGAGAGGCTCGATATCCCTCTGAAATTCCCTAGGAGGTTGAGGTATTGATATTCTGTTAAGTGATTCAAAGTTTAGTGTATTCTATTCAAACGGATGGCAAGTTTGTTCATATCACATTTATAAGAAACAAGATTATTAAAAGTGCATGTCAGACAGTTAGCTACACCATTATCAAGAAAACCAAAGGTTTACTGATGTCTCAGTTAAAATATGTATCATAAGATTGATGTTTCATTTTGGTTATGCACTTCCTTTAATATGTATCATAACAGTGTGAAATGTTCTGGAAGAGCAGGCTGGCTCCTTCAACTTTTTAAATATAATATTAACAGACAATTGTAACTCATGAAAATCACACAGTATTAATCCAAACTTCCTGTTACTTTCTCAAGATTGACAGCAGCATAGAGGATGCAGTGGCATCAGAGAAGTTAGCGCAGGACATTGTGGAGCAGATACTACTCTTTGAGAAAGTCAGAAAACATCTTGATGAGGGAGATGAAAAAACCAGAAACAAAAATAAGTCTGGCAAAATAGTTTTCAAAGTTGGGGAGAAAGTATGGAGACAAAATCTCAGAAGCCAACAAAGAAAAGGGGGGAAGCTGGAAAGAAGCTACTTTGGCCCTTATTTCATCACAGCAATAAAAGGAAAAAGTGCTGATCTGCGAGATGAGAAAGGGATTGTATTTAACAAAATTAGTACTGATCAGCTCAAGTTGGCTGTTGAGAGCACACCCAGGGTGCCCACAATCATCTGCAACCAAGACATACTATCCCTGCAGCTCCACCACAGCCTTCAAATGCTTGTTCTGAGCCAGCAGCAGAAGCTGTAACACCAGCTGCAGTGACTCCACCAAAGCCTTCAAATGCATTTTCAAAGCCAGCAGCAGAAGCTGTAACATCAGCTGCAGTGACTCCTCCAAAGCCTTCGAATGCATGTTCAAAGCCAGCAGAAGAAGCTGTAACACCAGCTCCAGTGACTCCACCAAAGCCTTCAAATGCATTTTCAAAGCCAGCAGCAGAAGCTGTCACACCAGCTCCATTGATTCCACCACAGCCTTCAAATGCATGTTCAAAGCCAGCAGCAGAAGCTGTCACACCAGCTCCAGTGATTCCACCACAGCCTTCAAATGCATGTTCAAAGCCAGCAGCAGAAGCTGTCACACCAGCTCCAGTGATTCCACCACAGCCTTCAAATGCATGCTCAAAGCCAGCAGCAGAAGCTGTAACACCAGCTGCAGTGACTCCACCAAAGCCTTCAAATGCATGTTCAAAGCCAGCAGCAGAAACTGTAACACCAGCTCCAGTGACTCCACCACAGCCTTCAAATACATGTTCTGAGCAAACATACACAACAGCTGTTTTTGAGAAATGTAAGAATGTTTTTGGCTCTGATTTATAAAAATACCTACCGGTATATCTAATCATGTTGTACACGTAATTCTGATCAACTACTATAATCATGCATTTTTAATTATGCCTTTGTTTTGCATGGAAAATGTGTGTCCTAGGGCACAACAGTTTGTTGCTTCAGTAGCAGCAATTCTTTATTGACAGTTTTGTTTCTTTATATTTTTAAATAGATGTCCAGGAAGCATGGGAAGGAAATGTTTCACATGTTCTCCTTTCCAAAATCGGGCCATACAAATTATTTTATTGGGACATTTCTCAAATTGGTCCAAACATGGAGCTGGACAGTGAGGTACACAGTACTGCTAATGACTTTAAGTGCTTTTTTAGTTATCCACATAACTAACTGCATTTTGCTATATCTATGAAAATTTCATTGACAGTCCATCAATGCCTACATGAATCTATTAGTGCGTGGGCACAATTGTGCCGACAAAGAAAAAGCAGCTGTGATAGACTCTTTTGCAATGAATGCAATTTGGAATGGAAAACCACAAAGGCTTAAGGTCTGTATAACCTAACGAGATATTTTTGACATACTCACAAATGCATAGTAATTTTATTTCAATCATTATCTTTCTATATTAAGTCAATGATTTAAGTTTTTGAAATGCAAGGAATAACCTGTTAGAAAAAAGAATGTAAGTAAAAACTGTCTTGACCAAATACTTTTATTCAATTAAAGGGTTTTCTTTATTTATTATTTATGTTTTTCAGATAAAACCAATGGAGCATGAAGTTTTACTGGGGATTATAAATTAGTATCACCACTGGAAATTTGCAGTAAATGGCACTTTAGACACAAACAACAACACAGATACTTGTAATAGTATTTTTTATTTTAATTCATACTGCTTTCCAAGGTAATTTATCTGCATGTAACGACACTATTCCTATATTTCGTTAAGAGAAATAAAACATCTTGATTTCCACGCCGAATTGGCTGGAAATGAGGCGTAGTTTAGTGTATACGTTCAACAAGCTGAATGCGCGCTCCTGACGCAGGGGATACAAATCCTGGCGGGGATACTTCGTTTGGCACGACACCGGCCCTTACCACAGACAACTGCAGCCCATTGGTTATCATCCCTGACAGTCTAAAGCAGGGTTCTTCAACGTTTTCCAGGCCAAGGACCCCCAAACTCATGGCAAGATGGAGCGGGGACCCCCGAATATTGTATCAAACTGGTCCTATAGTCACTCAACTACAGACGGAGTAATGCAATTAAAGTAATTTCTCCCTGGGATTATTAAAATATTTCTGATTCCTGGTTGATTGGACAGGTGTTGTGAATGGTGCCCACCTTGAAAGAGCTCCTGTGTGTTGCGGAATGTGTGCATTGATGACTGAAAGACATCTTCTGCCTCCATTTATCTTTTTACTACAGTGTGTTGAATTCATGTTAATGTATTTTTAAAGGCATTTCAATTAGTGGAAAAAATTACAGGGGAGAATATAAACAAAAATTTTGAATCAACCAAAACTTTCACGACCCCCATGCAGTACCTCCAGGGCCCCACTAGGGGTCACGGACCCCCTGTTGAAGACCTCTGGTCTAAAGGGCAAGGCCAATTCAGAAAGTAGAAAAACACCTTCACTCTCCATTAGAACTTTGTGCAGCGGAGTTCACAGTAGTAATGGATAAGAAACACAAGGGAGGCGCAGAGAAACTGCGCGAAAAAAATAAACGAGTTCTTCAAACAGACGCTGCGAATGTATCAAACTGACTGACATGTTCCCAACAGCAGGCCCTTCATCTGCTCCGGTGTCTGATGTAAAATATGACGGTGGTGGAGGTTGTAGTGGAGGCGATGGCGAATCGAGCAGTGAACATATCAGTGCGGCTTCTGCAGTAGTAGAACTTGCGGTAAGCCGGACAGTTTTCAGAGCCCCAAACTATGTAATGCAGACATCCCAAGTCTCCCGGAAGTTCTGGGAATCTCCCTGATATAGATAGTTGTTCACGGATGCCCACGAGTCTGATAAATTATCCCGGATTTTAGACTATGGGAGGTGGTGTTTTTTTAATGCGAGTGAGAGCGGGCAGGCAATACAATATTTCATGCATCATGTGCGGATTATAACTACTTCAATTGCGCAGACACAACAACCGAGAGCAGGGTGTGGGGAGGAGGAGGTTGCTGGTGAAACCTGTGCCGATGCTCTGATCAACCAGCGTTCCAGGCGACTGGTTGATCAGAGAGCTGATTGGATCAGTCTGATAAGTTTATCTGGGTTCCTCTCTGGCAGTCACCTAGTTACCACTTAAAGCTGTGCAAACGGCAGAGGTTGAATCCTCGAGTAAAAAACAAAAAAATATAGGACTAATTTTACAGCAATATAAAGTATATCCACGTCTAGTGAAGCTGAGGAACAGTGTCGGGCTGTTTCCAGGACTGCTTTTCTACTTTGGCAGTCCGAGTAAAATATTTCTTTTTCAGTCTTTTAACATTTTCTTCAGAAGGTAGATTTTATCTTCTTCTTTAACAGGTAGCTTGGGATACAGTTGCATATATTTTAAATTGCACAGAATTGCACAGAATGACCCTGTCAGGTTTACTTAGCTTCTATCTTAATGCGTCAATCTCTGCAGTAGCAGTTAAGTATATCTCCTGATGTGAATATATTAATACATCAGTAGGGGCTAAATGTCACACTATAATCCACAAGACTGTTAAGGAATGAAAGTGAATTGATAGTAATAGGCAACCTCTGATTCATCCATGAATTCCCCTCTGAAGGTCCCAGACAATGTCTCCTCATACACCCCGTACTAGTACAGTAACAATTTTCAGTATGGACCTTAAAAATCCTATTTTGAAAAATCTTTTTTTCAAAATGGGATTTGCTTACAGTTACAATGCCTGTTGTGGTATCAGGGGATCCACTGGGAACACAGCACCACCACATCCGTTGGGGCATAAGAAAGAAAAGAGATATGAAAGGTAAATGCATACTTTGATGTGAATGCTAAGAACAATTTGATGCAAACATGGGAATATATGATTGGACCATTCTTCTTTCCTTTTAAATCATGTTAATGTATTTTTGGTTCATCAATGGTAACTCCTGTGTTTATCATTTTATTTAGACATTACAGTTTTCCGATGGTTTAAGTTTTTATGATGCATTTTAAGGCCGCATAATGAGGATTCTTGGATTCCGACCAGACCTCGGCACCTTGCTCTGATGTAATCGTTCTTCGAATCTGGCCTTCTAAGGACGCACCCCAAGACTCCTCGTTATGCGGCCTTAATATGCGCCCTTCTTTTTGCCCGATTTGAAGGACGGTCCGATGTATCCTCTTTACCCTTGGTTTTCCCAGAAATCATTGCGAGACCAAGCAAGCCGGCTGCTCCGTGATCAGAGGAAAGGTTACTTGGCGCTGAACAGTGGTGAAAATTGGAAGTGCAGTTTAATATAATAAAAGTATTTGAATAGTTTCGTCTGAAATGAATGAAAATAGTTGTTTTAACTGTTATTGAGTCAGATATGTGGCGGAAATGTTTGGTTTATCTAAAGGTTTTTATCTGTTACTGTTTAAATGAGTTTGGCTGTAATTTAAGGACACATTCTAATGTATCTGCAGTGCAGGGACTGATAGGATTTTTATTTTTTTTTATTGCTGTTTTGCACAGTATGCTTAACTAAGTATTTTTTGTTGAATATTAGAGATTTTGCAGATATATATTTTATACATACATTGTTTAGATTTACTTATATAATATATTATGATTATTGAAATCAATAATCCGAAGATTTAAAGTGTAAACTGTAAAGGTTGACATTTTTTGGAACATTTTTCTACTTTTCACTAAATGTACATTAACCAGAAATTTGAATTTTACGTAGTGGGACGTTATAGGCTTATTTGGATAATCCTGATTCAAAATCTCCTTTGTAGAAACTAGGCAAAAACTAACAAGGTTGATCTACGTGTAAGATATTCGTCAAGATTATCTTTGAGCTTTTGGTGATGTCAGGAAGGAGACGTCAGATTAGGGGTGGAGTTAACGATCAAGGTAAAGCGTTCAGTTTGTTTGCAGTACAGGTGATCCTCGGTTTCGGTGAGAGGAGATCATGGGGAAACTTGAGACGTTCGAGATTGAGTTTAAAGATAAAAAAGACTTGTACGTCCCGGGAGAATCAATTTCTGGAACCGTGACAGTCAAACTGAACCAGCCGATCCAATGCAAAGGTAGGACAATTAACGCTCTCACCTGTTTTGGACACTGAACAAGGAAGTGGGAAGTTATTCAAAGTGAGGCTTTCCGCTTTTTTATGTTGTTTTCCCCTCCTCACCTCTATGACCAGGTGACGCTGTGCTTTATTTGAAGATTTTTTATTCTTCCAGTCTAATTTCTGTGACCCAACAGCTTGAGCTAAGGAAAGCTATGGAATACAATGTAGGCCTGGCTGTTTTTGAATTGGTGCCAGACTAGAGCGATATATCTGGGATTCAGAAGTTGGCTCCTTTTGTTTTATGTGTGACCTGCTTTTTAATTGCAGGCATATTAACTATGGCACTGTTACATCCTTGCACCATCTAACTAACTAACTAAATAACTAAATAACTAACCCACCCACCTAGCCTCCCTGTTGAGTTATAACATTGAAGCACTTCAAACCCGTAGGGATCACATGAAAATACAGAATTCAGGTGAATTAAAATAACCGTTATACTTTCAAAAGTTTTTAGTGGCTTTCATTGCTGATGATTGAATAGGCCTACTGAATAAAAATAAATAAAATCAGCTGCTGTCTTATTGATTACACTGGGATCCATTTATTAAAGCAGTTAAAAAAGGAATTGACTATAGCTAGGTTCAAAGTGTTATTAATCTAGTATTTTATAGCTGTCGAGTACTGATTAGTTGGAACAACTGAACTTGAGAACAGCACAAAACAAACCCGTCAGAATTTTCCAAATCACTTTACCCACCTTATTCTCATGGGCTCAAGCTACTCGGTCCAAGTGGGGAGGTGAAACTTCACTTCCTCACCATTTTCTTCCTTGTTGGGAGTGCCCCTCTGTTTATGGTATTTCCAGTTTGTCAAGATTCCTGTTTGGGCAGATCAGGTTGCTTCTCTAATAAAAGCAAGTTGGACGTTAATATCAGATGTATATTTCTAGGTAAATATTTTCATTGTTATAGAAGTTTCTGTCTTTAACAGTTTTTATTTCTCATCCAGTTGATCTTCTGGGGTTCCTATAATTGGAAAAATTTTAAATGAAGACAATTTGTTCACTGACTGTAGCTACGTACCTGTGGAAACAATTAGGTTTTTCTACTAGCTTTTTAGAAAATTATTCCCACAAATTATGTTATAACAAGCCTCTGTTCTGGCAGATTTGCAAAACATCCTGTAGGTTACGTTCACACTGCAGCCAAATCAGATTTTTGTGGCTCATATGCGACCTGTATCTGATCTTTTCATGTCTGTCTGAACAACACACTGATTTGTTTTTCAGTCTGACGCAGGCCACTTGGCTATGTGGTCCTGAATCTGATACGAATCTGATCTTTTCAAATGCGTCTGAACAGCCAGGTCGCATTCATCCGACCTGAACACCATTACCACCCGACAAAGGTCACTATACTGGGTCTTGCTATGAAGAAGCGGCAAGAAAAAACAACCGTGGCAGAAGATGATGCGGAGAGCAGTGTTTATGTTTCACCATCTTGATGGCGCTCTGGCACTACCATCCATGTTTACTTCCATGAATGCAGAGCACGCTGGCCTGTGATGTCATTGCAATGTCCTCTACTGCGCATGCAGGACACTTGCGTTGTATGACTGCAGTTCACGCAGGAGATCTCACATACAAGTTGCATATATTTGGAAATGTCAACAGCAACACAAAAAAATTCGTATTTCACCAAAAAAATCGGAATTGAGCATCAAGGCCTGCCGTGTGAACGTAGCCTTAGAGTGAAGGCAATTGATTCTGCCAGACCTGTGGCTTCCTGCTGCACAATTTGTGTGAGGACTGCATGCAAGAAGATTGTGCAATATCAGTTATTTAAATATATATATATATATATATATATATATATATATAAAACTTTAAATATTAGGAATGATACGCCTTTCTTCATATTCTCTCCTCTTCTTACTTTACATTCTGTCGTTTTAGCATTTTGTTTTTTGCAACTTCCACTTTCTTCGACCAGCTAAATATTACATGTAAAATACGAGTTTAGCATTTAGAATAATTTAGCCAACAGTTAACTGCTTTTTAAAATATCCTTCATGACAAGAATATTGCACATCCTTCTATTTAACTGAGGATATATTTATATGCTGTGCCACGTTATTCTGTACATTAGCAGCCTAACCAGAACACACAAAAAGTATCAGGAAATAAACCTGTCATTCATAAACCAGACAAAAATATTATTAAATGCACATAAATAAATACTTAAAGAAATAAGTAAAAATAAAGTTGAAGATTATAATATATACAATTCGATTTCTTTTATAAGATGGCGCTTGGCTTTATATGTGAAGAGACGGATTTTAAATTCTATTTTAGATATAACAGGAAGCCAATGAAGATAGCTAAAGGCTGAAACCTGTGTCCTGGCAACCATTAGATGAGTTTAATCTTTGTCCCGTCTGTTTTTTTGTTTGTTTTTTCCATCTGCAGCCGTGAAAGTGAACTGCAATGGTTTCTGTGGTATCACTAGTAAGATAAATGACACAGCATGGACAACAGAGGAGCAGTACTTCAACAACACCCTCTCTGTTTCAGATAAAGGTAATTTGCAGCACTGATGAGACTGTTAATATAAATGTCAAGTCTCCCTAACGTTTCTATTGTAAGTAAGCTTAGCAGCACCAATAATGTTTACCATATTATTGATTATTTCTGTGTCATGAAATTGGTAGTATCACTGTGTAAAGTTTGTAAACTTAAAGTTGTAATTGTCCACTTAGCCACTAAATGTAAAATAAAGCTAATTGTTTCTCTGTTCTCTCTGTGTCTCGTCCAGGAACCCTGAAACAGGGAGAGCACAAGTTCCCTTTCAAGTTCCTAATACCAGGTAGGTAGGGTTTGATAGCGGGGTTTTTCCCTTAGACTAAGAACAGCTCTCTAGACTATTTCATTTTTTAAAGTGCCACCTTGATAAGGTAAGTAGCAGTAATAGAAAAAAACAACATTGTGATGAAAAACAGTAATGTAAACATATGACTCTATAGTTACAGTTCAACATCCATTTAATTAACATTCTTTTTTTTTTTTTTTTTTTTTTTTACAAGGGTTTTGCTCTTGTATTTCCTATCATGCTAACTTTTTGAATGTGGATTTATAGCCAGATCTTGCCCTAGAGTAGTAGCGGTTACCAGCAACACTTAGATTTTTTTTTATAATTGGATAGTGACATAAAAATTCTATACAGTTATATTTTAAAACGCTGCCTTTTAAGGTTCCTGGGTAACCAAAGACCAAGATGGCTCTGATGAATTCCACTAAGAAGAACTTGCATTTAAAGCTCTTCAAAATTGTTGCTGAATCAACTGTTGATGTACTAAAAGAGCCCCTTTTGCCAAACAATTGGTTATACTACAAATTACATTAACATTATTTATGTTATAGTAATTGGATACAGTACCCTGTGTACCAATTACCTTTTGTGTTCTACCCTACTTCAGAAGGATGATGGCTCCCTTCTGGGCACTTGTCAGGTCAGCATCCTTGTCCATGATAATGTAGCAAACTGACCAAGAGTGAGAGGCCATTTCACAGCTCAGGAAACCTTTGCACGTATTTTGAGTTATTTAGTTGAATTTATGTGATGATTTTTATGATTTTCACTTCCTGAGATAACTACTAAAACATAATGCACTTTTACCTTGGGCTGGGCGATAAAAATAGATTAATCTAGTTTCTTTGTTCATGACTGTTTCATTTTTGGAAACCTGCATTTTTTTTAAACTAATCCTCTCCATAGGTTTTCATAGCTCACAGTTACATCAGTTTTTTGTTCTTATATTAGAACTCTTCTCATAACTGATAAACTAGGTCTCTTTGTAAAACCACTATCTGTTTAGTTGGTTGCATTTTCACTGTTTGTTGTGAAACGTGATTGTTTTACAAGCATGTTTCACAAAAAGTCTTCAAAATCAATATAAGCCATTTTGTTGTTTTGATTTAGAAATTTAAATGAAAAAATTTAATTTAGCAGGAAACTACATTCAAGATTAGATATTGAAGCCATATCTTCCACCTGACTTTTACCTAATATTCTGAGTTTTGAGTTGTGCCTGTAAGTACTGACTGGTGATTGAAAAGCTATATTAGTATATGTGCCCATTAAGACTGGATAATTTAGAATTAACTTCTCATGCAGAATTTGATAAAAATAAGTGGTTTGTTGTACATTTCAGCAGCTGTAGGGCAGCTTTGCCTCGCTGAAAAAAGGGAGCCAGATACCCAACCCTTTCTTCCAAGATAGTGGTTGGGGGTTTGATTCCAGCTTCCCCCAGCCACCTGATCCTCAGACAGAACAGTGAACCCCATTTGTATTCTAATCTATGTGTCAGTGTGTTATGTGTTCATTTAGTTTTTTTCTTTGTTTATAGATACAAAAAGTTCAGCATTCCAAAACAAAACACAACAATGGCACTTAAAGCGGTCATAGAATGATTCTATAGGGTATTTGGTGCTGGTCCTTAAGGGCTCTGTATAGAGTGTGTAACATTGGTTGGGCTGAAAATGGCATATTTACTGTTCTATGAGCCCTAATGCAAGCCTGGTTAAGAGCCCCAAAATAAAACTACAGGTTTACTTCCTTTTATGGTGTGTTCATGAATATGTAGATGAGCTGTGCACTGATTGGTTGGTTTACAATGAGGGAAGCTGCTGAGCAAAGACTCATCATAGCAAGAGGCACTCACTCACAGAAAAATCAAATTGTTAAAATGGTAGGGTGACGAGATGTCCTCTTTTCCCTGGACATGTCCAATATGTCCGGCGGGGGGGAGGGTTCAAAATCGTCCGGGATTTTGGTAGACTGCAGTGCAGCACGTAGTCGAAACACACCCGGCAGTTAATCTGAGCTGTCAGCTCTGGGACTGGTCCAGGAACCTCAGCAAACGGGGGCAAGGAGCCAGCGGGGGACACGGCGGCCGAACCTGACCCGTTGACTGTAGCCTGGAGACTGCCAGCCTTGTGCTTCCCCCCGCCGGCCTTACCGGCCCTCAGCCCCGCTCCTCCGGCTGAGGATGGGCGGCTTATGGCTCTCTGCTGAGCTTCGGTCCAGTCAGTGGCCCAGCAGTCGACACCTAATAGCCATCCCGAGTTTAGGTCAACTCCGTTTTATAATGGAAGTGTAGAATTGTGAAAATTGCAGAGAAAGGAGGTGTCAATGAAGTTTGAACTTCTCCTTACATCTGTTTCACCCACTAAACTATTGTTATTCATCTATGTTAATGTAAACTCGGTTTTGCATTCTATGACCCCTTTAATGAATTGCACTGAAAAAATAAAGCCTGGTTGTTTGATTTGAATGGCAGGTGCTCAGGATTGTTTTAATGAATGCCAACATATTGTCCTGTGATTAATGGGTTTTGCATACTATTTTGATTTAACAAAGATTTGGTTAGGATGTTACTGTTCCTTTTCACTCTACACCAATTCTTGCATTGTTAACGTTCACTGTGAGAGATCAGACATACCTTTGATATTGGCTGTAAATTATTCAGATACAGGTATGCTTCTGTTGCGAAATTGTTGGTAGCCTCTGAGATTTGGAGATGCATATTAATAGACAAGACTCTTATGGTGTTTTACTGGGAACCCCTTTAACAATAGTCTCTGGTTCATGCAAGATTTGTACGGATTTCAGTTGGACCCCTAGTATCTTAACACTGATACAGCCTATGGTGTCAAGTAAATCTTTAGTTCTCCTTTCTCCAAAACAATTCAATTCAATTTCAATTAGGGCTGCAACAACGAATCGATAAAATCGATAAAAATCGACTTTTAAAAGTGTTGGCAACGAATTTCATCATCGAT